GTTTTTAATAGTATTTAAAATACTGTAACTGTAGTAGCCTGCTACTTAGGTAACTTTTTTTAGTTTATTATAAATATTTTAGTTCTTGCAGGCTTGCTTATACATTTTTAAAAACCTAGTTATATTTTTATTATTAAATATAAGTATGCCTAAAGTACTAGGAATTAGCATGGGGGTAATTAATAAAAGGTAATACTTTTTTTTTATTATACTTTTTATGTTTTTAAAGGCGCCGGTATTACTACCGCGGGAGTTGTTAAAAAGTGTGTAAATTTTATTAATAACACCGCCGGGCTTACCCTTAGCCGCGGGGGATATATTACTAAAATTTTTAAATATAGGCATGGGTATTTACTTAGTATTTTTACCACTTTTTTTATTTAAAAACTTAAATGCGTGGGATATTTTTACTTAATAATAAAAGTTAGCAAGCAGGCAGTAGGCTTATATATATTAAAGGTTTTAAATAGTTTTTTAAAGGGCTAGGTTTATAAATACTTGGTAAAAAATAAAACTTTATAACTATAAAAAGGGACTTATAAAATATTTTTGCTTTATTATTAAGTATTTAGTATAACTACCTAGGTGGGCCCCTGGGAGCTTTGCTTTAAATTTACTAGCTATATTTATACTAAATTTACTAATTTTACTATTTAATTTATTATGTTTGTTAGGTAATTAGTATTTCTTAGGATTTTTTAGTTTATTATTTCCTTAAAAATTACTAGGGCGCTTTATACGCGGCCTACCTGCCTTGCTTACTAGGTTTAATCTATACTTACTATTTAATTTTTTTTAACCTTTAGGCCTTAATAGTTTTTTACCCCTTTTTTTAATAATTTTAGGTGCCTAAGTTATTAAGGCATAGCTACTAGTATTAAAAACTTTTAATTTAGGGGTTTAGCGGGCGCCCTTTTTACCTTTATAATATTAAAAAAACATGCCCTGCGTTAGTTACTAATATATAAAAGGGTAGTACTAAAGTATAAAAGCTAAAAAAGCTAAATAGTAGTAAAAACCTAGGACTAGACGGTATATAGTATAGGTAAGAATAATAGTAGGAAAAAGAACATATATATTAGGGTAAATAATAGACTAGGTATAGGAGGCTGGTAGCAAGGCTATAAGTACTACAGGAATTAATGTTGGGGTGCAACCCCACTACACTAAGCGTGCTAAAACTTTTAATATATATTAAAGTTTTATTAAATAGCATGTACCATAATTTTTAAAAAAGCATTTTAAAATATATATAATATAGTCAAAGTATAAAAATTAATTATACTTTTTAATATACTAAGCAAGATTTTTAAAATTATTATAGTAAAGTTTTTATAAAACATGGTTAAAAACTAGGAAATACTTCCTAAGTATTAAATAAGGGCTAAAAGTAAATATTTTATAAAAATTATACTTAATTTTTTAACATTTATCATTAAAATAATATAAGAATTAAGCTAGGTTATTTTTTTACTCTCCCTGGACATATTAGGCGCATTTAATAATATAATTAAAAATATTTTTTTCAAAGTCTTAAGGCTAAAAAAGTATTAAAAAACTTAATAAAATAGGTTAAAAGCTTTATAACTAATAAAATTATAATTTTATTATTTAATAAAAGGGACTTAAAGCTATTTTTAATAAAAATAAGTATTTTATAAAGCTTGCCAATCTTGCTTATACTATTTTTTACAACTTAAAACTAGTTAAGGCATGCAGTAACAACTTAGAAGGTATTAAAATATAATTTATAAATAATAAAAACCTAAGAATATGGCGCTTAATTACCTAGTTTATATATAAAATATTTATTAGAATATATAATAAATACCTAAACTAGACCTTTATATATAAAGCTAGGTTTATATCAAAAAAATATAAGTTAATATACTTTTTATCAAAATAATATTATATCATTTAAAGGCTATTATAAAGTAGTATTATTATTAAATATTTAACTAATAATATTTAAGTACTAGGGCTATATTTTAACTTATAATTAAATTAGTCCGCCCATGTAAAGGCACTAAAAAATTATATAAAAAAACTTTTTTAAAAAATTAATAAGCTTAACCTAAGGTGTTTTTTTTAGTTTAAGCTAAGTAAATTTATATTTTTATAATTAGGCTAGTAATTACTTATACTTACTACATGTAGCATGCCTTAATATAAAAATATATAAAATTATGCTTATATTAAAAGTAGTAAAAAAAGCCTAATTATAATACTTAAAATAAATTATTAAAGTTTTTAAGGTTATATTAAATCTTTTTTAAAGGTTATTATTTATATTTTTTTGATTAAACTTTACCTTACGGGAAAAATTACTATATATTAAAATAAAATAAATACTACGCTAATAGCCCTGCTAATAGAAAAAGTTTATAAATATATTAATAACTTACTTTTTACCCGCCTAGTATATAACCAGGAAATAATTAAATATAGTAAATTTATATTTAAAATATAGTATCAAAACTAGGTAATATAATATTAAACCCTGAAAATATATAAATTAATTTATAAAAGGTAAATATAAAAAATAGTCCTAAAAAATAAAAGTTAAAATATGGAAAAAAAATTAAAAATAAGGTAAAGGCCCTGCCTTATACCCTGGGAAAATATAATTTAAATATTTATATCAAATTATATAAGGTAAAAACCTTTATTTTTACCTAGCTTTAAATAAGTAAGGTTAAAGTTATAATATTTTTATATTAACCTTAAGTATTAAATTATTTTAGCCTAAAATATATTAAATACAATTATAATAAAAAATATCTTAGTATATTATTATTTTTTATAAAAAATGTTAAAAAAAAGAACATACCTTTAATACTAAGGTTAAGTAAACTTAAATTAACTTTTTTTAAAAGGGGCTTGGCCAAGGTTACTAAATAATAAATAAAAAAATAGTAAACTAGTTTTAGCTAGTAAATAAGTTAAATAAAAAGTAATAGGTTAAACTAACATAAAATATAAAAAGGAATAAATATAGTAGGATATATAATTAAATGAATAAAAAAAATTTATTTAATAAAAAATGGCCCGCTAGGCCACCCCTATGGTTTTTTTAAAATAGTAAGATAAACTAAATGGCCCAGAGGCCCAACGGAGTAGAAATCAATTATTAATAAGGCCTTAAAAGCTAAAAAAGCCTATAACTAGTCCTAACTTTAGAAATAAAAAAAGGACTTAGGCTGGAACTAAAATAGTAATAAAGTAAATTTCTTAAAAAATCAAAATAAACAGTAACTTAATTTTTTAGAAAAAATAGTACTATAAAAAGGGTCTTTATTTTAATTATAGTAAATTAGGCTATTTATTAAATGCCTGTTTAGATAAAAAATAAACCTAAGGAAAATCTAGCTACAAATAAATAGTAATTTATTAGCCTTAAGTTATTAAAGTTATATAATTTAAAGAAATAGACAACTTTTTTATTCTTGTAAATTTTGAAATATACAAAAATAATATAAATTAATAGTTTAAAGTACTATTTAACACAGCTATAAAATAGCTTTTATTGATAAAAAATAAATGACATTATTTAAATTTAAGATAATAATTTTAAATAAAATATTAAATTTAATTATTTAGTGCCTATGCACAAAAGTTTAATCATAAAAAATATTATATAAAAAAACTTTAACAGCCAGGTACTAGTCTTAATTTAAAAGATAGTATATTTTATAGTAGTACTTAACTAACCTTACTAACTTTAATACTTGCTAGTACCTTATTCCTAGCCTTAATATCTCCAAGGCTTTAATTACTGGTGTTAATAATCAGTAAGTAGGCAATTAACACCCGCGATACCTAGTAGGGCTCCTAGTAAAAAATATTAAAATATAATATACTATTTCCTTTATTATCGCCCTTGCCTATTAGCTCAGTTAGCTATAGTAAGTATAGCTTTACCATTATAGCCTAGCTAGATACAATCCCCAAGCTTTTATCTCCAAGAATGACGGCATTCTGTCAAGCATTTGGTTTGATATTAGGTATCCATGGAGCTGTCCGAGCGTGCGCTTAGCTAGGAACTACCATAAAAAGTCCGCGGGCAGGTCCTGGGCCTCTTATCCGAGTACGAGAAGGATTTACTCGGCCAGTATTCGCATCTTCCGCAACATTAATTGCTATACCAGGCTTGAGAACCCGCTGGACTGGAATTATACAGAAACTACCATGCGCGAGCATTTTCGCTCTTTACCGACTGTGAATGTGTTTTTAACCCTTGGTATTGACTGTCGCATGTGATCGGATACTTCCTGTTCCAAGGCTGATTTGACTGCCTGCTAAATAATGGCTAATGGTCTACGGATCATTTTCCATGTTATGCCACACTGCTCGAGAATCTTCAATCAAGGGTCGGGGGGTTGATGCTGATTCTGTATCGAGGTTGGTGGGAGATACACTTGAACCAGCCCAGCCCTAATACCAAGACTACATTGCTCCAATTTATGGGTTCATGCTTTGCTCTACGAGATATTTATATTAGATCACACTGGATACAGGTTAGTAGACCCAGAACGACGGGGCTAGCCCTCACTCATTCATCAACAGTGCAAGCGGGAAAAGAAGTAGTCCGCTTATGTCGAGTATTGTTCTGTCTCGTTAAAGGCGAGTACGCCCGTTCAAAGGTGAAACATCGACTCTGGATCTGCGTCTAGGTCTTGATCGTCGAGGAGGGTGGTACTAAGATTCATTACGGACACTTTTCAGGACATATCAAGGTATATATGAGACTGTGAATCGAGAAGGCATGTTCGTTGTATTCTATTTATGATAACTTGGGCCAAGTTTGAAAGCACTCAGAATGCACTGCTAGTAGAATGATTGGGATTAGGAGAGAAAAACAGGCAATGAAAACATAGAAAAGCAAGGACAAGGCAAAGAACTGGTGAATGGTCAAGGAAATCACAACTGGACAAGGAGCGCAGGGCACAAGGCCGAATATAACACAAAGAGAGAGCCATAACTATAAATAAGAGGCGCACTTAGCGCAAAGGCCCAATACACACCGATGGAGAGTCCGTGATCCCTCTTCGCCGGTAATCAACTTCAATATCTTCCCATTTGGTGTAACGTCTAGGATTCCAGTTGGGAGAATCCGACGGCAGCCCACCGGTATCAATAAGATGCCCTCGAAGCCGACACAACCCGTGAGAAATATTATGGCCGTCAGGGCGGCGGCCGTTGAGATAATCCCACGCCAGTTGGAACTCAGGCCGCAGGGTCCGTCGATATGGCCCGGTGTTGGGCCGTTGGCCGGGGGTCCCGTAGTCGCTCATTGCGTATTGCATTGCCCTCCAGACCTTTTCCAGCGGGTGGCTTCCGCGGTTCGGGGGTAGCATGTCGCGGACTCGGAGGTAGAGGATGGACTCGGTGAAGGCGCTGGGGTTGAGCGTCAGGCAGCCGGGGAATCCGAGCCATGGGCCTGTAGGGCCGACGACGTTGCCGTTGTTGTACGCAGGGGGCAGCCGGGGGTCGTTGGTGAGGATGAGGTGCGGGTCTTGCGCGGCGGGCGGTCCGTGGTGCCAGTCTGGCAGCCACCAGAGGGTGTCGGATTTGGAGAGCAGCGAGATCCAGAAGGATTGCTCGTGGAAGTGGGCGGTTGGGACTGGGCCGGGTGCCCGTTCCTCTAGCATAGTGCACTGGGGGTTGCGGCACAGGTGATATCCACAGGCTTTGAGAACCGTTTCAGCTACTTTGATCTGGTGGTTCAGGACGACAAAGCTAATCTCGGGGAAGTCACTTTCGTACTTGTCTGCTATCAAGCTGATTGGCAACGCGCCCCAGAGAAGAGCACCAACCTGAGCATCTGCCAGGATGCGTCCCACTTTGGTAGCAGCAGCTACACCTGATGCTGGTTCTGTAGACATGGCTGAAGGGAGTCGATGTTTGTTAACTTTGAGAATATGGTCACAGAATATGCGCACAGTAATGCATATCTGCACATATTTATAATCATTACTCCTTGTTCAAGTGCTTTTGTTCATGTAATGGTGGTTGACTTTGTGATTTCCACTCCCTTTATTGATTCTTTATTACCCTGGAGCGAACAACGAGGCTATTACAAGCCCTGAAACAAGAATTGTCTCAGGAACCTAGGATCGTCCAATAACTATACCTGATGTAGGGTGTTCGAGGGCCAACCACAGATTGCTGGTACAAAGCCTCTGGGAAGGCCTTGCCCTCAATTCTTTGACCGGAACCCGTACATTGCACGCATATGAAGGAATCTGCTGCGCCCCTGGGTTACAAAAAAGGTATACCTCTTGGTTACTTATCCTGTTGCACGACAGGATAAAAGAAAACGCTCATTGGTAAGACTCCGCTTCGCCAAACGGTGGCGCTTTCCTTACAAAGGTCAAATTGGGTCAAAGAGCCTCGAGGATCGAGTTGAAAGAAGTACAAGAACAGGTTAAAGAATCAAATGAACAGGCCAAAAAACTCAACTGATTAGGCCAAGTAGATGAACGGATACACAGTGTTCGCTGCTCAATAGTACACGGGCCAAGATGTCAGTAGACTGCGTAGAAGTCTAAGTGAAACAGCAATACTCGACAGCAAAGCAAGAAAGCAGACTATTTCGAGTTCCATTCCTCATGGCCAAGGTACTTGCGCCTACCAAGCTATGTATAGAACGCCAAACGTCGCCACCATCCCAATGAGGAACCCTACTAGAACCCATCCAAGACTGCCGAGGAGCAGCAGCGCGAGTACCATCGATTGAGGTAAATGCACTGCATCTGCAGGACACGGGCTGCATGTGGCTTCGAGGGATCTTCCCCCCGCGTTCGCAGTCGCGACCGTTGCCTGGTCGTTGGCATCCATATCTCTCAGCGCACCTTCTTGACGGGGAGCTCCTTCCAGGGACTTTTGCTCGACATCCTCGGCGCGAGCGGTAGATGGAGCCAGCATTGCCCCTTCACCAGCCGGCACAGCGTCCGCATCGATGCATCGTAGCCTCTTCTCCTCGACGTTAACCGCGCTCCGCATGCCGAGTTGCGTTCTCCACCACGCTTCCGGTTGGCGAGAAAGACGGATCAACTCGGGGAGGTTCCGATGCAACCAGTTCATCTCATTGTCGTTGAAGGATGGGCTTTGCAATTGCAACAAGAGCTTAGCCGCCCCCTTGGCCGCCGCTCGTCGGATATCGTCTGGTTCGCCAGGCATGCCCGAACCGACCATGCAGGCGCTGGGGGGGGTTTGGGATACCGTATCAGCACGCCCACATTCGTATCAGCCGGCTGATACATATCAGAGCTCAATATAGTCGAAAAGTCACATTAAAGACAATTTAAATAATTAAATTTAATATATATTTAATAATAATACATATTATTATATAATAATTTATATTTATAATAATATATATTAGTAAGCCTAATATATATTAGTAAGCCTAATATATATTATAATATAATAATATATATCAAAAAACTTAATATTTTATAAAATTTAAAAATAATAATAAAATATTTTATAAGTCACGTGATTCCCCTAATATATATTTTATTATTATATTTAT